ATTTGAACACATTCACTTTTGTTTCAATTAAACTTTTTCAAATCATCAAATTTATTTTTACAAAAAAGCTGACATTCTTTTCATCTTTTGTTTGAACTGCTCACAAATAGGTGACTATGAAAGTTCGAATTTGCATTGGCTTCAAGTGAACAGTGCCATTGACAATCGGTTGCAGGCGATAGCTGTGTCTTTCACCCTTATACCTGAACTGAAGTCGTCTCCTCTGAGCCCCAATGTCTTGGTTTGCACTCAGCGTCATCTCTTGAAGTTGAACAATCTTTATAAGAGGGAAGAGACCATCCAGCTGAACAGTGGCCGGCTTGCTGAGCACTGAATCCTCGTTTTCCTGGTAGAAGTGCTCGAGACGTAGAAGAACCGACTTTGGCCGCCACTGCTCCAGCGTGAGAACGTGCACATTGGCGGGAAGATGGCCTCCTCCTCGCTGGTGGATACCGCTAAACACGGTTCGGTAGTGATGTTGGTACGAATGCAGATTGTACTTCGGCAGGAAGGCGACCACTGGCTCCAGGTACAGCTGCTGACTGAGTGGACGGTGCTCGGCGGCGGCAGCGTCGACTGGACTGAGCAGCAGCAGGTGTCGTCCTCGGACCTGCAGCCCTCGCCCATCAGGACCAGTCTCGTTGAGCGCCTCTGCCACGCCAAAGGCGTCATCGTGCAGCAGCCGACGGTGAAGCATCAGCTCCAGCTGGCCATCTCGAAGACTGCCGCCACCTTGAGTGCGGTCAGTGAGCAGTGTCATTTGCAGCTGGCTGGCCTGCTCGAGGTCGCGCAGAAAGAGGCGACTGTTCACCGGGTAGTAGTTGCCGGCCACCGGCTCAAAGACGGTGTAGTTCCAGGAGGGTCGGTAGTTGCGAATGCGCTTCAGTATCTGCCGTCCATTGGCGTCAGTGTAGAAGGCTCCTCGGGTGATTAGACTGGTGGAGTAGCGGGCCACTACCTCCTTTCCCACACCATCCTCCACGGGAATCGAGCCAACGAACCAGTCAAACTCAATGAAGTCCTTCCTCGGGTGAATGCGAATGCTTTGCTGCACAAAGGATTCGTACGTCTGCTGAATCTCCAGCAGTCCGCTGCTTCCTGGTCGAGTGTCAGTGAAGGCCTCTGCGCGAAGAAGGCGACCTAGTGACTTGGCAGTCTGCTCCTTTGGCCGGAAGATGTACGCCCCAGAGGAACGATTGGTGAAGATCTTATTGTTGCCAGTGTGTCCTTCGTAGTAGTAGAAACTGTTTTTAACCTCAACCGTTCTGCCGGCCA